ATTCTAACACTCGAGAATCTTCTACAACTTTAGAGAATAGGCGGGAGTTTCGCAATACATATTTAACATTATAAGCTATGTACGTTTCTAGATATAAATTTAATATAAACAAACGGCGATATTAAAATAAATATATAATAATAAATCCATCACACAACTGATGTATAACTTGATGAGAAACTGTAAACCTTGAAAATACATTTTGTTTTTATTATTGCATTATTCAGATCTTTTACGTATTGACACTAAGAATTTAGTTAGTGCTTAACATTAGCATTCATTTAAAACTGATTTCTAGTGTGTTCAAGCAGTTGTGGTTTATTTCAATTAATTAATTTGTATATTAGACATTCAAGTATAATTGTCACGTTTTATCATTAAGGTGCAAACTTCTTGAAACCTGCTATGGGTGCCCATTAGTTTTGTTTTAGGTGAATACAGTTTTTGTATTTTGTGCCAGATCTTGTAGTTTAATCCTTTAAAAGTGTGACTTAAATTATAAATGCACTTATAAGTGTATTTGATAAAGTAACCTTCTGTTTATTTTTCTCAGATATTGTCTAGAACCAAACCTGCTGCTGGACCAGGGGCACATATCCCTGGTAAGGATCTTAGGTCTAAGTCTAAAGTTCCTACTCTAGAAGAATTTTTGAAAGAAAAGGATTTCACAGGAGCACTGACTTTACTTGAGGTAGTTTGAATAAATTATATTGACACCAAAACATTGATACATATATTTGCATAATTCTGCAACATATTCCATTGTTTTCATAAACACCCAAAAATCCAGTATTTAAGCATTTGTATTGTTATGGTCCTTTTTATTTTTTATCTTCTGACATTATTTCACAATTTATAAATACTGAATCCAATAGACCTAGATTTTGTCAACATGGGTAGGTTTCTGTCTTCATATTGGTAACAGTATTGTAGTTTTACTCATTACTGTAATTTTTTATCATGAAAAAAGAGTAATATATAGCTGTAAAGTTGATCAAGTAGCATACTGAATACATGTATATCTTCATTAATAAACTAGAAATTATCCACTATCCTATTATCAATATTCAATGATAATATAGAACAAGCCTGTAAGCTTTAGTAAGCTTGGATTATATGATGAATTAATATAATTCATTACATCATATTCACTTAGAACTCTGATCCCAGTTAGGCCACAACCAGCCCCAGAACACTGATTTCTGGCCCACAGCATCTGCTTGTTAAAAATTAATTGTGAACAGTTTAGTAAAGAAATTTTGCAATTTTTACTGGTTAAATATGTGGAAGCTGTGTATTGTTAAAGTTTTTATCTTTTTTTGAAGTGTGTTCTTTTATGGGATTGTTATTAAACAACATCGTCTGTAATGTGTAATTTTTTTATAGTTTGTTAAAGTGTTATACAAAATAATTTGTGGAAGACAGTCATGTCCGTCTACAGACTGAGTGGCTAAAATAAGAAACTACATCTAAACAGCATATGATACATTTGCTGAATAGCATCTACTAGTGACTAAGTATTTATAAATACCAAATTGTTGTTTCAAGTAAGCACTTAATGAATAGACAGAATATCAGTGTGGGTAAAAACCCATTTATTTTATGCTACTGGAAGATATTTGTTTAAATCAGTTTTACAAAATGTCCTATTCCATTGATCAGTCATTTATCAATTGTCATTATAAAGAAGTATTTCTAGTTGCACAACAATAACATGAATTTTTAATTTTGTTCTGTTGAAAGTAGCAAAGCAAGTCACAGCTGTTAAATGAATGATGTTACATGTTTTTGATATTGAACGTGTATAACATGAAATATGTGACATGTACATGACACTGTGTTTGTGTGTATTTATGTGAAACAGTTTTTTTCTATATAATAATTTGTAAAAACATCAGCTGTCTTGTTTGAATTATACATTTCATGGAAAAGGTGGATTGAGAATTTATCAGTATGGTCTTTTGTTTCTGAAGTTCACAAGAAAGAGTGGTAAAGGAAACTTGGAGACAGACTTATGGATAGCTTACTGTGCGTTTCATCTGGGAGAATATAAACAAGCTATGGAAGTAAGTGGTCTTGAATTTTGAAATAAATAATCAAGTTTCAGTTGTGAGAAATATGACCTTCTATCCATTTAAACATATTTAGTAATCCATGTGTATTTTATTCATTGTGAATGTATGAATGTAAAACATGGAAACATTGAACAAAGTCATATTAATGTGTTATAGATTGATATTCCACATACATACTTTTGTTGAACATTCCAAAGCAAAGTTGACTGATCATATGATGTATCAGGCAATAGTTTGAGCTCTGTAAATGCAGAGATATTGTCATATCATGGTTAGCATGCAAAACAGTAGGTGACAACAAGGATTTCTCCAACTGTCAAAAGCGAATGACAGTCAGTGCCTGTCTTGCAGTTGCATTACAAATGAAGTTGGTTTCTGTGACTGACTATTCATTTTTGTCTGTTTTCATAATTTTTGAATAATAGTGATCAGAATGGAAATATCCTCCAGTAGAAAAAATGTGGCTGCCAGCTGTTATTATAGTATATGAACAGTACTGATCGAAAGAAAAACATCTCCTAGGGAAAATATGGCTGCTAACTGTTGTTATAGTTTACAAACAGCAGTGATTGTCATGATATAAAAGACTGCTTAGTTTAGATATTATTGATTAATTTATTTTTGTGAGTGAATATTTTATTATTGTTTAGTTTTTGTTATAATAAGAGTTAAAAGCAGACGATTGTAGGAGGTTTGTTAATAATTCATTGATGTTGAGACTATTGAACGTCACATGCAATACATTGATGTCGAGAATATAGAAGACAGGCAGATGATTAAGTGATAAAGATATAAATAGTGTCAGATGAGCAGAAGCAGCAGACAGACAATATCACAAGAGAATAAAGTTACAACAAGGAAAAGCTTGGCATGAAGTTAACTTTTGTAGAAGTGATAGGCCTAATGATTAGCATAGGCCTAGCATTTAGTATGTTAGAGTAAGACTAATGATAGAAAAGGAGATAAGAAGAAGAATTTATTCTGTCAAAGCATGGTTCTCAAGTAATTGAATCAGCCTGAGTGCACTTTGACCAAAGGAACAGAGAATATTTAAAAGAAAGAAGATCAAATGATTACGGTAACTCGTGCCACAATTGTAAGTGAATCACACACATAATACAAGTGTGATAGTAATAAAGATAGTTTAGCTTGTCCACTGAAAATCTAAAGTAATTGAATGGGCCTAAGTGGATTTATTTATCATTGAATTTATCACTAACGAGTCACAGACACCTAGTGTAGAAGAATCCTAAGCCCAATAACAACATGGTATATGTATTTATATACTATTAAGAAATATAAGTAAAAGCCATTTATTTTGACAATTGGAAAAGTAATTTTGTTTAATTCTGATAGTCTGACAGTGATAAAAAGTAAGACATCTTCCAGTAGGAAAAACGTGGCTACTAGCTGTTATTATAGTGTATGAACAGTACTGATCAAAAGAGAAACATCTTCTGCTAGAAAAAATATGGCTGCTAACTGTTGCTATAGTTTACAAAAAGCAGTGTTAAAATGTAAGACATCTTCCACTAGGTAAAACATGGCTACCAGCTGTTATTACAGTTTATGAACAGTACTAATCAAAAGAGAAACATATTCTTCTAGGAAAAATACGGCTGCTAACTGTTGTTATAGTTTACAAGCAGCAGTGACAAAAAAAAAATATTCCACTACGAAAAATACGGCAACTAACTGTTGTTATAGTTTATAAACAGCAGTGATTGAAAGAGAAACAACTTCCACTATGAAAAATGTGATGGGTAATTCCTGTTACAATTTATGAACAGTAGTGGTCAAAAGAAAGGCATCTTCCACTAGGAAAAATGGAACTGCTTCCTACTGATGAGTGTTTGAGATAACTGAGATAGGCTTGCAGTAGGTCTCAGACTGTGTTACAGTTGACCAATTCCATTAACATTTATCATAATTTGAATAATTTCAATCATATTGTACAAAATTATTACAAAAGGTTTATATGGCAGGTGATGCTGAATCTCCAAAATATCTCTAGGCTAACAGGAAAGCATAGCTTCATTGGTGCTTAGAACAACCCTTTCGCCCCGGGTAGGTTAAAGTGCACATTTCAAGATGTTTTGGAGCATTATTTTCAAACTTTTATCTAGTCCAATACTACTAATTAGCTACTGCTTATAACCAATAGAAAGAACATTTTCACCCCTATGTAACTCTGACAGTTGTTTATAAATAGCTTGAAAGAGAAAATAATAATTTTGCCAAAACTAGTGACGTGTGATGATTTAGTCGCTGCTCTGAACAGGAATGTGATTTTTTTCAACTCACATACAGTTTATTGAGAGACCCAACTGAATTACAGGGATTTTGAGTATACTAGTACAGTAATTTGATAACTTTTTGGTCTTCAAAAATTCATATTTGAAGCCTAAAATAACTAGTATCTCTACCCCCTCCACCCAGAAGAATAAACGAGGCTTATGTCAAGGCTTAGCAAGTTTGACGCACGAGCGATGCACGAGTGCAACATTTCGTAACACGGTTATGTACTCGAACTCTTTGTTTGTCAGTGTATTTCTCATTTACTTTCTAAGTGTGGTGAAAGTGAGAGAGAGTAGTATCATTTATAAGAATGTGCCCAAATAACACCTTCATATACTTATGCTGCAAAATTCCACATACATCAAATGGGTGACCATAGTACTGAAACACCTGCTATGTAATTGGATAAGCCCAGCTCAGAACCTATAATGTTTATTGGATCAGCCCAACTCTAAACCATATAATAAATGTTTTTACACATTCTAATTGCAATTTTATTACCCTGAGAAATTCATGTTGAAAGAGTTGTAAGAACTATAAACTGCTATATCCCATATTGTGTTCTCGGAGCAAGGGGAATGTCACCTCACTGAATACATGTGCATTTTTGCACTCGAGAGTTTTGTATTATGGTTGTATGTAAACACTGTGTCTTATAACATAGACAGTGAATTATTGCTGTTTTGTCAGCGGGTTTGTAATTTGTCAGTAACAGTAAAATAAACAGAAAATATATGGGATATCTTTAGCAGTTGAAACTGTCAGGGGAAGAACTTTGAAACTTCATAATCAATAATGAAGGAAAAGGAAACAGCTGCTCATTATATTTCTGATTTTACAGTTTTTCTTTTCATTCTACTTCAATGAGTTGTCTACAGGTTGAAGAATCAAATAATAAATGTAATAACAGGTAAAATATAATGTTTTATTGAAAAAAAGGTATATATGTATTTAGGAGGTTTCAGATGTTGTGCAAGTGAAATTCTAGATTTTTGAAACAAAGAAAAGTATTTTAAAATCTTAAAATGAAGATCACTTTGCACTCAGACTGGTTAAAAAAAAGAATCAATATTTTCACAGACAAATATAAGTAAAAATACTTCATTAAAAAATCTGATTTTTTTTTGTGTGCAAAAGGCTTCTAATGTTTACTATAAATCTACAAAGTTTTGTAAAGATACACTTAAAATATTAAAAGTTATAGCATGAAAACTATAACAAGCACCAAATGGTTATGAGGTCGGTCCCAGGGACTGAGCTCATGTCGAAAGAGTTAAGAGATAACTGAGATGAGATAGGCTTGCAGTAGGTCTCAGACTGTTTTACAGTTGACCAATTCCAATAACACTTATTACAAAAGGGGTATATGGCAGGTGATGATGAGTCTCAAAAATATTTTTAGGCTAACAGGAAAGCATAGCTTCAATGGTGCTTAGAACAAGATAACAAAATATAGACACGATTGACTGGGAGTTTATGTGTAGTCTGACGAGTTGCATATTACCAATTTGTGCCATGTGAAGCTTATATAAACTATCTGATTCTGCTTGCATTGTTCTGACAGTACATGCTGCTTTAAACTAGAACCACCTCAGTTTCACTCGTACCTAAAACTGCCATGCTTTCATCATTTTGACAGCTACATATTGAAACACAAGTTATTGGATACCACTCAGAAGTTTTATTTTGGCGGATCAAATCAAATGTAATTACAACTGAAACACGGTATTAAAATGAACAATTGTGCAAAAAAAAGAAACTTCAAGTAAGTTAGATATTATAATAAAATAAACATATCAAAAGAAACAAGTTAGTAAGCAGGTATAAACAGCTATATATACATACAGAACTTTAAATAAAAACTAATAGGTAAATTATTCTAAACAATATATGTTTGTAAAAAACTGTGAAGAAAATTATGTGAATCCCATTATAAACTAGCCTAAGTGGAACAGTCCATGCAGGTGAAACACTTTTCAATTTGTGCTTTGCATTTAACACACACATGTGTTTTGCACAAGACACATTTATCTGAAATTCTGTTTTTATTCCACTTAAACATCTGGCATTGTTTTCTTTTACATGTTTCACTGGATACAGCAGTGGATTCAGGCTGAGATGCTTGGTACTTTGCAGTTTTTCAAACGTGTTTTTGTTGGAACTCTGAGGCTGGCTTCAATATGAAATCCCGTCCAACTTATATTTTATCCCATGCATTCCTAGTACAAAATAAAGGAATTGATGGCTGACAAATCCATAAAATTATAAAATACAACTGGCCACCAACGAGAACCAGCTTTTACTGAGTACTGGTGTGCCATCTGGTCTGCAACATCCACTCTGTACTTTGTCCGATTGTAGAAAATCACAGTCTCTGTTTTTTCTTCTCAGTAGTCAATTCCAACTAACATGTGAAAAAACTAAAAATGCAAACATTCTTCCTTGGCTTGCACTTGTAAACAGTCAATGTAGCAAAGTCATTCTGTTTCAAAATTATTCTGGTGTACAGCTCTGGTTGTAAGTTTAATGTAGATGCTAGAAGCTCTCTTCGTGATTTGTTCACTGTTCCAACTAGGCTGGTTTGTTTTTCTGCAGCTCTTTTGCCAATTCAAGTGAAGTAAAATAATTGTCTCTAGTCACATTCCTACCTTTTACTAAGTATGGTGCCATCAGCCTGAGTACCACACTGTCTGCCAGTCTCTGACCAGCTGAACAAGTTTCATCTCTGCTCAGAATGTAATTTAGTGCTATGTCTACTACTAGCCAAAACTTTATTCCAAATTTGTCCACTTTGTTTGCCATGTATTGTGCCCAGTGACACCATGCTTTAGTGGGAAACAGCTGCTCATCCACAATATTGTTCCATTATGTCAGGGCAAATTTGTGTGTTTGAAGTTGGACACTTCTTGTTGCTCTCAAGTCAAAACACAAAAATCACAGTATTTCTTGAAATCAGTTCCTTAGCATTGTCTTTGTAAAAAATGGAGTTCCTCATTGCTCAGAACAAAAGCTCTACAGGTAAATGCTTGTATTTTCTTCAAAGATATTTACCAGGAATCATCGTTTTGCATCCTATGTGCCTCTGCTTCAGAACATTGTTGGATGTAGCATAGCATTCATGTATTAATCAATAAGTGAAAAGCACTGAGATTGCTATCATTATTGCATTTTGTCATACTGTGTGGGACCTTTTGTGCAGCCTATCTTTCTGCAGTCTCAACATTTGGATTCATAAGTTCCCAAATTGGTCCCTCCTTTCCAATCTCCTGTATGCCAGCTTGCATTGGTGATGCAGGTGGAGTTGCTGTGGTTGGTACTGTACTGGGTGAAGTGGCTTAAACAATTGAATTTACTGCAGCTGCTGCAGGAGATGACATAGATAAAGTGGCTGGCACTGCAGAGGCACTGCTGCTTTTGCTGTGACCTCTCCTGCATCTAGAGAACTGTTTTGGTAGTAGTAGCACTTTCCTCATTTTTACTTGCAGGATTGTCTGTTTCACAAATCCAGGACTCTGTTTTCATGATTGCTCACATTCCTCACATCAGAATCATTTTCTGACAAAGCACCTCTATCACTTGTTGAGTGTACAATCGTCTTCTTTGAATTTTTGAGTCTCTGTCAGTTTCTTTGTTATTATATATATTCAAATGGACAGACAAGCAGATGCCACTTCTCACAGAAATTGCTAGGATTATAGGTAGACAATGCCGAAGCCTCAATGAACCAACGTCTGTCTGTCAGCTGATATGGATGAATTTTAAGGTCCAAAATATAATTAAATAATAATGTAATCAATGAGCTGAGAGCTCAATTGGAGAGAGAAATAGCAAAAGGCATCTGTACTGAAATTGTGGGCTACTTGCCATACAAAAAAAAAGTTGTGTAGATTCATGTGTAGTAGTTGGATTAATACTGAGTTATGTGACATTGTTATAGTTTTAAGGCTTCATTGTGTTTACAGGCTTGGAAAACTTTATCATAAACATAAGCTTCTTAATGTTTGTATAAACTAGTTAACATCAAATAGTGCAGAAGTGCTTTAATTTAACTATATTATATCACAAAGAAATGTGAATAAAACTTAATATTTAAACTTTCATTTTAATCTTTTTAAATGTGCTTTAAACATAATATTTGTTCAGTATTGGAAATAATTAGAACTGGAGAAAATGGCAAATACTATGGGAATTCCAATCCTTGATTGTGTGAAAATGCACAACGTGGGAATACAGTTGTGTTGATAGTTTACACTGTGAATGATTATCATTCAAGAAATCAGAAGATGCCACATGAGTTAATAAATCTTATAAAACTGCAGACATTCATACTGTGCCCAGTAGTAATAGGATTATGAATCTAGTCATGACTTTTTGGGACTGAAATACTGACAAGTATATAGAAATCAAAGTTTTAGTTTTTCAAGATTACTCCATGCAGAATATTGTGGCAAAATGCAATGTTTCAATAGAACCTGTATACAAAGCTCTGAAGAGAGCATGTGAAACTGACACTGAAGTGGTGGAGGTAATAAACATTCTGAAAGTGATGTTGAATATTTTAGAGTATGTTCTTTACAAAATAGACTACAGTTAATTATTGATTCTGCTAATGGCCTTGCTTAAGTACAGGTGAAAACATTGCCTCAAGTCGAATTTTTAAAATGTTATTGTTACTTTTTCATTAATACATAAAACACACTGAAATGAAAAACATATGTAAACTTAATATTTACTTTGCAACTTGTACAACATAAGTATTTAATTTTTTAAATCTTTCAAGAACCTATATACTCAATTTTCCCCCACACTTGCATGATATTAGTTTTCTGTCTGTGTTTTTTGTTTTTAAAGGAATATGAGAAAATCACCAAAAGGAAGGATGCTCCTCAAGATGCATGGACATTTCTTGCTTGCTGTTACTTTTATTTGGGGATGTACAAGGAAGCAAATGAAGCTGTGATGAAAGGTGGGCTGTCAATGAAAAGGTGTAAAAAAACAATTAGCCATGCTACTAACAGAATATTAGAGATTGTATTCTACTTAAAGTTTTGAGTTATCTACCTTTTATATAACTTATCAAATAATATTAAAGATTGCATGTTACTGAAGATAAAACTTTCAAAAATTATATAATTATGTTTATAGACACATAGGTTTAAAGTATCGTTTCTTAAAAGTAAGTGTGATCACGCTTTTAATGCTTTTTGTGAGGTAAGTTGATAAGTCAATTCAGTGAGTTGCAAACAAGTTTTATTATCAGGTTATCTAATTGAACTTTTTATTTGAACATGTGCAACATTTTTACTTATTTCAAATAGATAACGTACCAATTTCAGATATACACTTTAAGCATTCTTTTTTATATATGTCATTCGGCTGTTGGTAGCTGTTTCAGTGTAAGAGCAGGGTCTGCTCTGAGCTTTGCAAAATTTGCATTTTGTGATTTTATTTTGTGCCAATGTTTGAAGACAGTAAAATTTGAACATTGATTATATATGTCATATTGTTTATTACATGGTACTGTGTTAAATTTTGAAATAAATATGAAAAAACCTTACTGATTTTTATTTTGATCATATGGGTATATACCCATCACAAATTCATTTTTCAAAAGTTAGCTTCTAGCTGGTTCCTAGTTTTGAAAATTGGCATCAGAATCCCAAGGCTGTTAATTTTTTTGGCTCCCACTATTTTATGAACCAGAGAAGTTCCCAAAGAGAAATAGCCAACTGTTCAGTTCATTCATCAAGCATCAGCTGAGCAGGATTCTATGATTTGATGTTGTAGAACTGATGAAATTTTTAGATGTTATTAATCAGTCACTAGTTTTATGTAATCTAACTACAACACAATGCAGCTATGTAGTGCAACTTGAAACACACTTTCCAAGTAGTTTTAGTTTACTTGCTATTATGTAGGTTATATAAACTGATTTTAACAAAGTTTTATCCTTCCTTTTTGTTTTTGCATTTAAACATCTTATTACCAATCAATAATCAGCACACTTGATTGCAGTAGAACAAGCAGTCTAATTCCAGTATTTCTTGAAATATTTATTACATACTCATAATTGTATTGTCTTGTGACTTGTTTTTGTTCTTTCATGAATAATTAAAATTTGAATATATCTATAACATAGAATTATACCTTTTTTTTTATACAAATTTTAGGCAACCAACCCAACTAATCACAATTGTCTTTGAACAGTTGCCAATGCTTTCGTTTTATGAAATGTTTTATTTAATATAATTACTAGCTTTAGCTATAATACTGAGGCCGAGTTTCTTCAGGTTCAAAGAAGAATGAGTGAATTAGACCATCATCATTTCACTTAGGTGATACCTTTTACCCTATAATTCTCTAACCTCATCAGTGGAGATCAACACGTGTCTCTGGATTTCATTTTTCATAATGATTGCCACATGTGAAGAATAAAACTTTTTTTTTGGGGGGGGGGGGATGTACAAGTGCATGACTTCACCTTAAACTTCCAGTATAGGTCTTTTTTTTTTACTAGTAGCTGGAGTATGTATGCATGAATGAAACATATTGGATGACTTTATAATCAGCATGAAACAGATTCAGTACACCTGACTCATGCAGAGGTGCATAGCTGTAATCCATTACACAATTGATTACCAGGAATAGTTTAGTAAACACAGTTACCTACAGATCTTATTTCATGATGCTTTATAGTTTATTTCTACCCACTGCTAAAAATTGCACATATTGTAACATTTTAATAGAGTTATTAAGGAAATTATTATAAACGTATGTCAATAATACTTGGCATCAAAATGTAAATAATAAACCAAATGTTAATATTATATAAGTTTTCGTTTCTTATTTTTACAAGAAAATATTTCAAGTTCTCATTCTTCACATCCATGTGTCACATGACATTTGTTTGCTCTGAATAGCCCACTTAAACATTTTTTTCACCCCTGTTTCAACTTCTGAGTTTTAATACAAATTACAGAGTTATAGTATTGGTATTGCTGAGACAAAATCTCATTCTATAGTTTCCAACCACCCTTATTTACAGAAATATAAACTAGAAAGTAATCCACATTCCATGCCCTTCTATCACATTCTGTCCTTTAAAAAATATCAGTAATTCTCTCTGACATTTGCTATCATATTATTTATACCCAATATGAGGAGAATATTTTATTTACTGACTTACATTAAATTAAAAAACTGAATTCATTTCCCTGTAGTATATGCATTAACCAGATGATTTCTAGCTTGTTACATAGTAGTTAGACCACAGTTCAAAAAGCAATAAACAAATTTAATAATAAATGCTCCCAGCTGTTAACAGTAAATGACTGTAATTTTCTGTTACAATTCTAGAAAAAAAAAGGTAGTTTAGATTTATTTCATACTTTTATGTGATGGTTATAAGGTTGGTCAAATGGACCAAGCTCATATAGTGTTAGAGCAGAGAAAGTAACACATAAAATATAGTTTTACCAAAAAGGACTTGAAATTCTAGAGTTAATAAAAATCAAATTTAATAACTGAGGTGAAAAGAAGTATTTTTAATCTTAACAAAATCACCTTGCACTGAAACTAGTCAGAGAGAGACTGACTCCATAAATTCACAAACAAATGTTTAATAAAAATACTTAATTAAAAAAAACCTGATTTTTTGCACACAAAAGACTTGTAATGTTTTCTAAAAGTTTGTCAAATTTCGTGAGATGGATCAAAATGATCAAGCCTGTATGGAGAAGGTTAAAGAAATTTTTGTTTTTACAAGTTATGTAAACTTTGAAACTGAGGTGTCAACTTTATTAACCTTGAAAGAGCAAAATAAACATGCAACTCAATATTACTTAGTAGCATAAAATTTCAGGAGAGTCAAGTAAACATCTGCTAACATTCAATTAACTGGGTAGGCTAGGAGATTCTTGTCAAAGCTCTCATACAGCTGTCATTGATTAGACAATTGCTGTTTATTTTATAATTTTTAAAGAGGAATTTTGAAAATCATAAACTACCACCATGACATAATAAACCTAAATGGTATAATATTAGCAATTTGTTTAGCCATTGATGTATAAATATGAGTTAGGTGTATCATTCTGTGCATAGGGGCCAAGAAGATGTGCCAAGAACAGATATGTGCAAAAAGTTACTAATGTTAAGAGGAGAAAAATGTGGACTTTTCCCATCTGATAGAGAGTGAGAAAAGTTGCAAATTTCTGTAAAAATATTTAGTTTTTTAACAACAAAATTTTCAGCCTGAAGTGTAAATACCACATACCTGCCACATATCCCTTAGTAGTTATTCTAAGGTTCATTTTAGGTTGTTTTTGTAGATGTTCATTACAGTGTAATTCTCTGGAAATACATAAATAAATTCTTAGTCTCTGCTTGTCTGTAATGTGACATTTGTTTGCTCAGACTTGCCCATTTTCTACTTTTTGTCACTCCTGTATGAAGTCTTGAGTTAACATAAATTACTCATTATAGTACAGATATTACTAAAGTATATTCTAATTTTTATAGCCTCCAATCTTCTTTGTTTATAGAGATATAAACCATAAAATCAAACCCACTTGCCATGACCTCCTATCACATCTTCTCCTTCACAAATTACAAATAATTCTCTGACATTTGCTAATACATCATTTACAATCAATAGAAAGTAAAAAATTTAATCTGCTGAATAACATAAAATGCTACCTTGTTGTCAGTAAAAATGTTTAGTTATTTTTCCTACAGATTGAAAGTTGATATTACTGAGTTCAGATTGAACAGCTTAGAGGATTATTTTAAGGCACTTATGCCTTCATTAAAAGGCCAGCTAAATTATAAGTTAAAGAACATGGTTGGTTTTTACACATTGTCATTTTGTTTTCTTAATTGCATACTTCAAGTATATAAAAATTATATTAGTTATCAGTAATATCGTTACAAGGAACTATGGTTTAGATTCGTTGATGAGCCGACAGCAAATAAACGAGGCCAAATATTAAATTTGTTTTTTATTAGGTATATTTTTTATTTATTATCATAAAAGTTATTAAAGTGTAAAAAATTAGAAATTTATTAGGTTAGATAATGAAATAATAAAATTTCTCCACAAGGTATGCTTTCAATTGGCTCATACTTTATGTAATTCAATATTGTCACTTGAGCTACGCAGGTTCTAGGTTGAATCAGAAGGCTTTTCTTTGGTATCTTGCACACATAATTCTAGGATTTGCCACCTCTTCCTGCACATCATCTTCAAAAGATAATTTTTAAGAACACTGTTGGGTTTTTTCCTGATTATCAACTGTTATGAAAGTTTTACACGTCAGAATTTCTTTGTAACTTGTTTGATGGTGATAAAATGTTTGCAGTAAAGGTAAATTTAACTGATGGGCGATAGTTCAATTGAGTAACCTGATTGAGGTGTTATATATTACTCTCCTCATTTCAGTTCTAGAAATATACTGCATAAAATTAAGATTACAAAAACATCTTATATTCAGAAGTATTAGGTCTACTTTATTTTAGACAAAATTTGATCAAAATAGGTTTATACCATTATTTATTTTAACATATTTTTTTGTTTTTACATTAGGTACTTGTACATTAAGTGTTGTATGTGATCATGTCTCACTGTTAAAGACAAAACATAATACAGAAATTAATTTCCTCTCTCACAAATAAGTTCCAAATTTTCATATTATGTAATAATAATCTTTCATCAATTGATTGTCAAACTAAGCAAAAATCCTAAAAACAAAAACATGTGCATTCATGGACCATGAAAATGAGACACTAAATTAGCAAATTGTAAACAGGATGAACTTGCACTACGTCTTCTTCACATACATTATGACTTTATGGCATTCTGAAATGTTTAAAATCATAAAATACACAATTAATAGTTTAAGACATAGAAATTTCACACATAAGAAGTACTCTTATCATTCTAATTTTCTTTAGCTCTCTCTATATAGGCTTGGTCATTTTGACTGACCTTGTAACCATGAAATTATACATACTATAATTTTGAATGTATTAAGGTGTATATCTACTAAATTTGAAGCTTTTAGTATTACAAGTGTTTCATAACCAAGTATTTATAAATTATGTATTTTTACTACAGATCTGACTATGATTGTATGTGGTCAGAATCTGATTCAGATTCTGAATAATGTATGTGCAAGGTGATTTTCAAGTTAGAAATAATAATACTTGTTTCTTCTTCAGTTTTCAGATATCATTTGTATAACCTCAAGAGCCTCTTAAATTATTATCAAACACTTGTTTATTAAAACCTTCTATTTGTAATTTTCTCTACCCTAACACTATACAGACTTGGTTGATTTGAACTGTTTGTTTGTTTGTTTGCAATTAAGCACAAAGCTACACAATGGACTATCTGTGCTCTGCTCACCATGGGTATCGAAACCCGGTTTCTAGCAGACATACCACTGTGCCATTGGGGAGGGGGAGGGGGATTTATTTGAATAACCTTGTAACCAGACATAAAAAATACAAAATAAATATAATTTCCTTTTTTCTTTCTAGAATGACCACATATTGTAAAAGAAAATTATAATTATTTATCCTAAACAGCATAAGACTTGTAACAGTTTACATCTGTTTCTATTTAAATTTATCATTTTGTTGCTCTTTGAACCATGTTGAATTAATAATCCTGCAATACAAATTGTCAATCAAATGGCAAATGAGACAAAGTAGTGGGTAAAAAAAAACTTTTAAAGAGGATATACAATTAAATGATAAACAAAAAAAGACATTTCATCCTGTTCTCTCAGCCTATGGTGCCTGTGGTTATAACCTAGGCATGTTTCTGACCTCGGCTTTCTTTTCATGTGTAATTTCTGTTTTGTTACATAAAAAAAATTTAACAAAATTCATCGATAAACTTTCATATTTTGATCCAAATTTTATCATGTTCAGTTATGATCATTCTTCTCTTCATGCAAATTGCTGTTCAAGAAGCTTCTACTATTTCTCTTTACAAAAACTCTAAATAATTCTCATCATAGAAATTTTTTGCTATGTCTTATCATTGTTGAATTATTGAAATTGACTAAAAAAATGATAGATTTTCAGTTTAACAATATAAATTTAAATCAGATTGATGGTATAGTCATGGATTACCTATTTGCCCCTGTGCTTTGTAATTTATTTATGAGTTACATTGAAGTTGATACATATAAGCACCACTGTTTATTCATATGTTTTGGCTATAATACACTGTTGATGTATGTACAGGTTTTTCCAATCCACAACAAGCCCAACTTTTTGTAAAACTACTTCACAAATAACACCCTTCTGTAATATTCACCATGAAATAAGAAACTCATAAAACTTTATCATTTATTAACGTTGTTATATGTAAGTTAGATCAAGGCTTCTCAATGAGTGTTTATCACAAGCCTATGAGCAGATCAAGTGTTATCTCAAGAGAATGACAAGGAACAAAGGCAGCTAGAATAGCAGCAACTTGATGACTTTCTTGACCACATATGTGAAAACTACATGCACCAGAAGGACTGACAAATTCTGTATTAAAATAAGAATGTAAAAAATGCTTGGTATGTTTATATACAATAACTCTGCTGTAGAGTATTTATAGCAAAGCTACTATATATAAATGAATATTCTTTATATTCTCTCAGGACCTAAAGGAATTATGGTTTCATCTGTTGAAAAAGCACAATATTAATTAAAGGTTAGATTTAATTTTACACCTAACATAAAATTAAGCAGTATTCCATCACATAAATTTCAAGACAACATGTATGTAATGTTTATGAACACAAATGTAACAACTTTATAGCAAGCTAAAAATGTGAAAGAGGAAGAAAATTCTGTATCCACATAAATGAACAAATTTCTCTGATTTTGACAACATAAACAAGACTCTGGTCACAACTCATTCATTTCCCATAATTTCTAAGGAAAACAACAACAAAATATCCTGGTTCCCTGCTACATTTACTCACCAATGGAATTTCAACTGCTTTATGATTGCTTCACTGCATTGATATATTTATATTTTCAAATACTATTCTGTGATGATAAGTAAGACTGTGGTGATTTGTTTTCCTTTTGTTTTCATTTTCCTGTATAGCTATTTTAATGGTTTGTTCGACTTACTATGGGATTCCTCATATCTATAAAGTAATGCAAGTGTTCTCAACATTTAAAAATTAAATTGGATAGAAAGATGTAGTTATGGCATAAACATACTACATAGGAGAAACTTTGGTTTGTTGTATTATAAAAAAGACCTGGATTTTTGTTTTTGAAAAGCTATACAAACCTTGATTTGGTTTTGTGTTATTTCACATGTGTATCTGTAAATTTTCCATTTCAATCGCCATACAATTGGTAACTGTTGAAATTCTATGATTTTAATTTTTAATGATGCTTTTATTTATATCTGTGTGTATATTTGCACTTGCATACACGTGTCAAACTAATTTTCTTTATCTTGCGTGTACACTGAATTACATAAGATATAAATCATCTTCTGTATAAGATTTTTTTTTAACAGTATCCTTCCACTGGCAATAACATAAGACTCAAAACAAACAGTTGATTTTGTATTATTTAACAAACAACATCTCGTTCACCTTATAAGTCATTTTGTTTCACTTATGTTTATACAGGCCCCAAAAACCAGCTTCAGAACCGACTATTGTTTCACCTTGCTCACAAGTTTGGTGATGAACAACAATTGATGGAGCATCATCAAAACTTGGAGGATATCTTGGAAGATCAACTTTCTTTAGCTTCCATACACTATCTAAGATCCCATTATCAAGAAGCTATTGACATATATAAACGTATACTCCTGGACAACAGGTATACTGTATATATTTGATTGCATGCTGTCTTCAGTACTTTTGGCCAAAAACTATTAAAGTATCATAGTTTTGCATAAAAGATTTGTAGCATGTTTGGATAGAAATGCTGCAATAGATGAATATTTTATCTCTGTCATGGTGTAACAGCTATACATATACATACCCATCCACTGGTTTCCTCTGATATAATTATTATGTGTTTCTTTGAAGCATAGACTTGCAAGATTCTTTAGTGTAAACATCAATACTCTCTTAAGATATTAATCATTTTATAATCTAATAATTTTTCTTTATATTTTTCTCTCTTTTTTTCTCTTTTGAAGTATAATATCTTTAATCTAATTTGCAAAAATTGTGTAATTGTGTAATTTTTGAGGTATATCTTATTTATGGCAGTGATGATAAATCCATCACAGAAGCCATTAAAAAGTATGGAAAAATGAAAAATCATATATTTGTTTTCACTAGAAAGTATGTAACTTAAATGCATTTTAAAGAAATAGATAAAATTTTAGCTACATTAGATACTTGTAGACTTTATAAACGTAAATCTATAAAATGTTGTCTTTGACACTTAAGATCATGATTTGGATGTTTTATTCTGGTTAGTAACGTATCTTATTTTTTTACCTATAGGGACTTCCTGGCATTAAATGTATATGTTGCTTTGTGTTACTACAAGTTAGACTACTATGATGTTTCACAGGTATTGTGTTTTATATTATTTAGGTTAATGAATTTATATTGCCCAGTTTTATGAGGAACAGTTTAAAGTAGTTTGGTTTTTCCATTCAACTATTTTTCTTCTTGTTACTATACTATACTATATAGATATGAGAAACAAGCACTTCAACTCTCTCACTACAAGCTCCGTCAAATTGACCAAGTTCACGACCCCAAATTGACATTTATAGTTTCCATACTATAATTTCTAATATGTTTTGTATATCTTCACAAAATTTTGCAAGCTTTCAGTAATTATTAAGAGTCATTTGTAGGCAAAAAATCAGAATTTTTAATGAAGTATTTTAACTAAAAATTTCTCCATGATTATATGGAGACAAAGAGTCTTCCCTGAGTGCAAAGTGATTTTTGTGTTAAGAATAAAAATACTTTTCTTCATCTAAAAAATCTCAAATTTCATTTGCATAATCTCTAAACCTCCTAAATATATTTCAAACTTGTTTTTTAAAGTAAAAATTTTTATTTTGTCTGTTACTTTTTCTACTCTAACTCGATGCGAGGTTAATCAGTTTTACTGACCTCATAACCACCAAAGAAAATTAAAAAATCTAAAATACCCTTTTTCTTTCAAGAATAATGTCAATTTGTAACATGAAACTGCATTTGTTTATTCTAAATACCTTTAAACTTGTTACAGTACATGTGTTTATACTTAAATTTTATTGTTTTTGAACTATGACTAAATGATATTCTCACTATAAAGTTTGTAAATCACTTGACAAATGTCTAACTCATGTTACCCTATCGAACTATGTAACACATGAGCTACTTGCTAGTCATGCATAAACATACCCCGTGAAAAATTGTTACTTGTTTTACCTAACTTTACCTAAGCTGACCTAAAAAAAAATGTTTTTACACTTTAGTTACTTTTATAATAATAAATAAGTAAAGAATACACATGAAAAACAAAAAATAAAGAACTTACCCGGGCCTTCTTTTTTTTGGTGTCGACTGTTGATGACATTTACCCAATTTTATTTTGCTAATGATACTACTGCACTAAATAATTCTTTATTCAGTTAAATAATATACCAAAGGACACAGAATAATTACTTGCAAAAAGTAGACAATGTCCTATAACTATCCCAATATATCTGGCTTTCTAACTATGCAACAAGAGCCGTTAAAACGTTCAGCTAAATCCATTGATGTGTTACCCATGAAAATAAAGTTTGAACTGAAAGTGAAACAGACAATTCTCTGTGTGGGAAACAACATAATATAATATATCATTTGATAGATTAAAACCTTGTTTTTCTATTGGTTATAAATAATATAGTATTAAACTTCAGAGAGAACTATTGGAAATTTCTGAAAGAGAGTATGTGACAGGCCGGCATGGCAAGAGGGGTTTGATTTTCTATTTGATGGCTCTGTAACCAAATAAGATATAGATAATTAGAAAATTAATCTTTTCTTAGAATTCTTAAAGTCACATATATTTAAAATAATTTCTGTAGAATTACATTATTCTGGAGTAAACTCAAGCTATTACAATTACTATAGTATGATAAGTTATTGTACAAGCCAAGTTTTAGTACAGTTGTAACAGCGAGATATTTACTTAAGTTTAATAGATTTGTATTTCTGTATCATAAAATAAGAGTATAAAACAAGAAACATCATCTTGTTTCATTATACACAATTTTTTGAGGAATAAATATACTGGGTATTGTAGATATAAACCAGAAAGTCAAACCCACAAGCCATGCTTTTCCAATTGCATCCTGTGTTTCCAAAAATTGATTATTTATAATCAATAGAAAGAGCAAATTGTAACTACATAAATCACCTAATCATCTGTTTTGTTGGAACCTTTAAATTTAATTTACTTCTCATTGGAGCTTGATTGGTTTCAACAAAGACATTTATTCAGGAAGTAATGAACTTCATAGGTTATTTAGAAAACCAATTAAATTAGAGTAGTTTTTATACAATCTGATCTAGTGAATAGTGTATTTTTGGTTTTCTAAAATTCACATTTGAAACCTACATGAATTGTTTTTTGGACAACCAACATAATTGGAAAAAAAAAGCTTAGGAAAGCAGGAATTTGACTACAGACTTGTCTAGGCTAAAGATAAGTTCTAAATTTCTTATTTTTTTATGTATATTTTTCATTTATTGTTATATATTTTTTTAATAAAAATAACTAACATATAAAATTTAACTTATTAAGTTAGATAAATAAACTTAAATGAAAACAATCAATAAAAACTTTTTTTCCTCAAATAATGCCCAAAGAACATAGGTAATTAAAGATGTTAAATGATGTAACCTAAAACTTTGTTTACCCTAAACTCTCTGCACTTCCCACTCAGTACTGGATTAATCCATAGGCCACCTAAGCCCAGATCTATGGCTCTAGCCATACAGGGTCCCCTCTGGCCATCCAAGTAAAAAAGTATGTTTTGTAAAACTAGCAGAATAGAGGTAAGAGTGAGTTATTATTATTCCCAAATATTACCTAGAACTAGGGCTCCATTAAACTTTAATCTGGCACTGCTTCCACTGGGTGATTTATTGCCTTTCATGATAGTTGCACAGTTTAGAGAGCAATAAAACAAGTGAAAGCAACTGTGAAAAGTTAAGAGGATTGAAGCTCTTAAGATAAATAATCGCCAGTCATTCTTTAAAGATAAGTTATTTTTTATTCTAGTTTTTGTTTTCTAACTTTTCATTTCACTTTTCATTGATGATTTTGCTTCTGTTAGTGTTAGGGTAGAGAAAATAAGATATAAAGAATAAAGTTTTATCAAAAAACTTATGAAACTTGTTTAGAATGCTCTAGATGTTAAGTAAATGAAATATGAAACTGTAAGATGAAAAGAAGTATTTTTATCTTTAGCATGAAATTCATATTTCATTTGGAATGACTCAGTAAAGGTTTCATAAATTCACAAACAAATCTTGTAAGGTTTACAAAAATCTTGATAAATTTCGTGAAAATATACTTAGCAAATTTGGTATTATGTTAAATGTTGTTATGTATAGCTTCACAGAAATGGCGGTTAATGATATGCACCATGCTGTACATGTAGGCTTAGATAATACAAAAAATATATATATATACACAATAATATAAGAGTGGACACAATAATAAATATACCTGATAAGTTCATTGCACAGTGAAGCAAGGCAAAAGTGATTATCTAATCCAATATGAACAGTTGTTTCTTACTTTTTAACCCCATTGCTCGAGGTACCCTTTACTGTGCATGACACAAGGTTTCAGTGTCTTACATTCAAAATTTTATTAAACTATTTTTTGTTTATGTTATACCAATTAGAATAGCATAAACTCTTAGCTAACAATCCATATTTTAATAGTATAAAAGTTTAAGTTCTTAATTTTACAAGGCAATATAAAAAAAATTCTGAATTTCCACTAGTCTGACTCACTTGACACATTTTGTCCAAGCATGTCATCATTCCTATCTTATCCATAACCCCTCGAAAATGTACGAAATTAAACGTAAAATACGCTATATAAAATCGTTATTGCTTAAACAAACCATAATTTTTATAGCCTTCAGTTATGTTTGGTTACAGAGCTATTGAATAGAAAATCAAACCTCTCCTGCCACACCCACCTGTCACATCCTCTCTTTCACAATTCTTTGATAGTTCTCTCTTACATTACCTATAACCAATAGAAAGTCAAGGTTTTCATCTATCAAATGATGTATTGTATAACGTTGTATTCTGAACAGAATATAGTCAATTTCACTCACAGTTCAAGATTCATTCCTGTGGGAAAGTTAATGACTAGCTTGGATGAATTTGTAATGGCTCTTGTTGCATAGTTAGAAAGCCAGGAAAACTTTGAGAGTTAAGTGAATTTGTCTACTTTTTGCATTATTAGTCTATATTCTTTAGTGCGTTATTTAATTAAATAAAACTTATTAAGGGCATTACTATCTATAGTATAAAAAATTAGGGTTAACTCTCTTCGAAACCCGACAGCAAGAAAAAAAAAGATTGGGTAAGTACTTTATTTCTTGTTTTTCATATTTATTATTATAAAAGTAACTAAAATCTAAAAATACAGATCTTTTTAAGTTATTTAAGACTATATTAGGTAAAAATAAGTAATAATAATAATATAATTAAAATGGTTCATGAGGCACACCTGTGAGCAGCTCGTTGATAATGTAATTTGATAGGGTAATGTGAGCTGCATGTTCCCCGAGTGATTTACAACTTATAATGGTGTGGATAGTAGTTAGACATGGTTCAAATGGCGATAAAACAATAAAATTTAATTACAAATAGATATATACTGTTACAAACTTAGAGCTACTTGAAATAAACGACTGTAGTTTCATGTTACAATTTAAAGTCATTTTAGAAAGAAAAAAGGGTAATTTAGGTAGTTATGAGGTCAGTCGTATTGACTGATCCCGTTTTGAAATAGAGTAGAGAAAATAACAGATAAACTATAAAGTTTTACTGAAAAAAACGTTTGAAATGCATTTTTAGGTTTTAGGGATAACACAAAGGAAACTTGAGATTTTTGAAATGAGGAAAAGTATTTTTAGTTTTAACATGAAAATTACTTTGCACATAGACTATT